CACAAGCATAACATGTATAATGTTTGACAAACAAGGCCATGCTGACCTTGTGTCGGGAGCACAGACTGGAGCACAGAACGAAGCACATTGCTCTCCGCTATCCTTGTTCGTGAGCTGCAGCAGCGTGGTCAGCTGCGCCTTGCTTACGTGGTCTCTGAGGCCAACACTGCTGATATCTTTACCAAGGCACTTCCGCCTGGTGATCATCAACGCTTTTGTACTATGCTAGGTCTTGTGCCTACTTGGCCTCACTTGCTCACTTCTTGACCTTGCTTGTACTGTGATCTTTCTATACCTGCACTTGCTTGTTACCTTTATATATGATCTTCTGCATGTGAACTGGCCTTTTGGCTTGCTCTTGTGCTCGGATTGTGTGGGACGTTGTGATCCACCCTGAGCTTGCTTTGCTTTGCTTGACTGGTCTTGTGACCTCTTGCTCTCCCCCACTTTGCCTATGGGGGTGTGTCAAACTTATATGCTATAGTCTGTGTAGGCTGTAGTGGGGTAGACTATATGGGGTACAACATTTCCAGGTTTTCCTACTTGTACCCACCTGCTTGATAGTTCGTTCATTCTTCATTTCTTCACAGTACCGACCCATTTTTCGCGACCGGAAATTCACAGCAACTGGCAGAAGCAAAAGGAGTCTGTTACGTAAAAACAAGCACCAACCGCATTTGGGTACTCGCGTACTCACTACTGAGGGAACTGCTACTGCAGGAGGCACACGACGGAATTACCTCGGGACATTTTGGGGTAGAAAAAACGCGACAGCAACTGCCAGCGGTATTACTACTGGCCGGAGCTGTTGACAAACGTGCAGCACCACGTGGGCTCGTGTCCTACGTGTCAGGTGATGAAGAGCTCGCGAAAAAGAAAGGCGGGCAGTTGCAGCCGATTCCACCACCTGAGCGCTCCTGGCAACAGGTTACCATGGATTTCGTCACAGGGTTACCTTCGAATCCTAGGGGGTAACGACTCATTTATGGTCGTCGTTGACAAGTTGACGAAGATGGCATACGTCGCTGCATGCAAGAAATCGATCTCAGCCGAAGAAACCGCTCTCCTGTTCATCGCAGCCGTCGTTCGACTCCATGGGATACCAGCCGCGATAATCAGCGAACGCGACACGAAGTTCACCAGCAACTTCTGGAAGAACCTTTGGGAGCAGTTCGGGACCAGGCTACAGTTCAGCTTGTCGTACCACCCCGAGACCGACGGTCAAACGGAGCGGACGAACCAGACGATGGAGCAGCTGATTCGTGCCACGTGCGACGATCCGAAAACTTGGGAGCAGCAGCTGCTGCTGATTGAGTTTGGGTACAACAACGCCACATCAGCAACGACGCAGCAGTCCCCGTTCTACCTGAAGTACGGGCAAAACCCTACAATGCCCATGACGCTGAGTCCGGACAACCCAACGCCACGCGCGCACAACAATTCGCCGAGATTCTGCAAGCTGCCCGCACCAGAGCCGCCGAAGCAGTAAAAAAACAAATGTCATCGCTAAGCGCAACGCTGACCGCCACCACCGTCCAGTCACGTACCAGTCAGGAGATTAAGTACTGCTCGACACACAAACTTACCGTAAGACTGCCCGTCGACTCGTACTGGAATTACGACCGCGCTACTGTGGACCATTTCAAATCAGCCACATGATTACCCCAGTGACAGCAACACTGTTGTACTGACCGACGACTGGTACATCAGCCCATCATTCCACGTCAGCCTGCTTCGCCCCTACATCCCAACACGAGCCCAACTGCCTCGTCATCGCCCACCATCCATGACTCGCCCTGCATCGGAGCCGATCATCGAGCCAGAAAAAATCATGAGCCATCGAATTCGACACCCACGGGAATCAGGAGGATTGAATTCTTGGTTCGCTTGAAGGACTGCACGCCAACTGAGGATAGCTGGGTGCCCCTGGCCAACATCGAAAACACCCTACCCTGCAAGTGTACATGAGGAGCCAGGGTTTTCCGCGATATACACGCACTCGTGTAGCGGAGGGGGCTTCTTGAGGGGGGGGTGGGGTAGTGCAAGGAATTTTCTTGACATTCCTTAGCGCATCCTGCAACATCGCGTACAGCAGCAGCCGTTGTTCGCCCGTTACTGCTATCGGGGCTTCGCCGACTTCTCGCGCTATGTTTCACCAAACCATTCACCGCTGGCCCGGCCGTGTCGGCCTACGCTTCGGACTAGCCCGAGCCTCGATGCCAGCCTAGCACTAGCTAGCTCGCACGCACCGCGTTACCGTTTGCATGTTTCGCGTATAAATGTTCGCTCATGCCTTCGCTCACATTTTGTACTCGTTTGACACTTAGTGCAATCCTCGCTACCTAGATTCATTGCACCCGTAACACTACTTTAAGAAGCCGAAACCCGTAATGGTACGAAATATCGGGTATAGTCAAGTCGCATATTTACCGCCACGCTTCGAAAATCAAAACCTGTCAGTACAGACCTGGCACAAACCGCGGTCTGGGGTTCATTCGGCACACGGTTTCCATCAGGCACCAGCGATCTGTAACGCACTTAACCAGATCGCAGAGCTCTCTCTGCCATGTTCATTCAACCTGCTTGACTATGGTGGACCTGTGGTCGTTCGCTGGCGGCTCATCTGTGCCTTTCATTCCATCCCACCTTGGGAACTCCGCATCGCCTGAATCGTACACGAGACGTACGACCCGGACAGGCCAACAGTTCACGACGATGTTCCCGACCAAGGCGGTTCCTGCCTTCGGACCATTACAGGACGAATGAGAGACAATAGAAACCTATTTGCAAGAAAACGCTTACAGCAGTTATGTTGTAGGACGCATGCTCTCGGCCAGAGTCATCGGTGAATTGAATAGACAGGGCGACTGAGCAATTCGTGTAATCAGCAACGCGGAATGACTGGATAAACTAGTAGCCTGCAATATCGAATGACTGGATAGACGCTGGTGATAGGTAGGCACTGAACCGAACAGAAGTACGCGCAGAAACCGACAAAGGTCTCTTCAACCAGAAAGTTTTGGGGTGATAGGCACTGGCGGGAGCAAGATCTGTACCAGGCATCAGCGAATGACTGAATAGACCCATAGCCGTTATTGGTGGTAGATAGGCACTTAGCTAATACACCAGGTGCTGAACCGAGCACAACAGCAGCTGAACCGAGCGCGACAGAAGTTGGACCGGACAAGCATCAGCAGCGCGCGATGGCGGAGGACGCGGTGGATCGGCAGCTGGCGCTGGTGGTGGAGATTGAGAGGCGGGGCGCGCTGCCAAGGTGCAGCTCGAGAACTGCCTGCTTCTCAGCGACCGCCTCGGTATCCTGCGACCGTTGCTCAAGGTTAGCCGTCGATCCTCCGACCGTGTTGAATTATATCCGTCGATCTTACCACTTCCTACTGCCAAGGTGCAGCTCGAGAATTGCCTGCTGCTCAGCGACCGCCTCGGCATCCTCCGCCCACTGCTCAAGGTCAGCCGTCGATTCCCCGACTGCCTCGATATGTTATAGTCAGCCGTTGATCCTGCACCTCCTACATCAAGATGCAGTACAGATTTATATTCCACGACGATCACGACGATTTTAGTCGGCAATTCTCAGACCGCATTTCCAGCTCATGGTTCGGTCGTCACTGCGTTACGCATCTGTGTAGCGCTGTCGTCGATCCGTCGACCACTTCTTAAGGTTGCTTGTCAGTCCTCTAGCCGGGTTGGGTTTCGTTCACGGTGGTCGTTCAGCCGCACCTCTCGTCGCGCACCACTCAAAGGGAATTGTTGCCGGTCATTATGTGCAACATTTCGTTACCAAGGTTACACTCGGCGTATAGCCTCTGTCAGTGAAAAGCAATGAACGCCAGCGAAGGCGAGCAAATTTCAGAAAAAGTGAAGGAGCGTCAGTTGATACCCTCCCCTTCCTCGGCGCGTCCGTGTTTAACTGTGTGTCCCTACACTCCCCCCGCCTTCCCCTCCTCGGTGCGCGCAGGACATGCGGCCGTGGTTGGCGGCGGTGCAGATGGGTCGACAGCAGGTCGCCATCGACGCCATCCTGCTGCGCCTCGAGAGGTGCGCTCGCCTGCCGTCGCTTGCTGAAACCTCGGAACGAGCTTTGGCAGCGTTGGTGCCTGATAGGGACATCTCCGGGGATGCAGAGAATACCACTGCTGGGTTGCTGCGTTGGTGCATCCACGCATGCATGGATCCATCCGTGCATCGGTCCTACATGTCCCCATCTACGTATCCACACCATTCATACATGCCCTATTCCGCGGATTTATGCGGTCGTTCTGGCAGGTGCCTGAGGCGTCTCAGCACGGTGATTCAACGCTGTGGGCGCTCCAGTCGCCTCTGTGTCTCCAGCTTCTATCGCGACCTGCACTTCACACTCAAACAGGTGTGCTTATATAGGGACATCTGCTTATCACGTCCAGTCATTGTGCACCGTGGGACCCAATCTCACATGCTTGCACGTGCTCTCACACGCCTCACCTGTGCTCTCACACGCCTCGCCTGTGCTCTCACACGCCTCACCTGTGCTCTCACACGCCTCACCTGTGCTCTCACACGCCTCACCTGTGCTCTCACACGCCTCACCTGTGCTCTCACACGCCTCACCTGTGCTCCCACCTCACTTTCCTCATCTGCCCTCCCATCCACATGCCCCATGCCGCCCCTCTCTCTCCAGGCCTCCCTCTCCCTCGCGGACTGCCTGGCGGACCTAGCAGCCCAGGCCGCCTCTACGCTTCCCGAAGCTGCCAAGCAGGCTCGGGCCATCCGCCGAGATCCAGCAGCTGAGGTTCGTGCCAGCTGGCAAGCAGGGACAGGCCCAGCTGGCAACAGTATGCGGGCAGGCGACAGAGCAGCAGCGGCTGCTGCAGCAGCTGCGTGCGTCCTCTCTCGCTGCTCCCAGCTCTCTCCGCACACTCCCAAGGCGCCAGCTGCCGGGCGTGCAGTGGCGGCTGCAGCGTGCAGCGGGGAGCGGGAGCAGCAGGAACGGAGACGGCAGGAGCATGGGCGGAAGGGGTAATGCGGGGTGGGAGAAGGTACGGGGGGTTGTGCGCGGAAGGGAGCAGGGAGCAGGTGGAAGGGGAGTTGGTGCGGGTGCTACAGCAGGTGGAGAGAGAGGCAGTGGTGGTGGGCGTGTTGAAAGCTCTGTGCTTCAAGTGCGGGTGGATGGAGGAGACTGTAGTGAAGAAGCTTATAAGGATCTGGGCGAGCAGAGGCGCGTGGTGGGCACGCAGCGGTGGGCTGTGGATGAGATTCAGCAGTGGCTCAGGCGGCAAGACCTATCAGCTGCTGACACGTGTTCGGATTCCCTGAGTGGAGTATTGTCGATTAGTGAGGGTGGAGGGGTGGGAGACGGAGAGGAGGAGAGCGTGGGATGGATGAGGGGAGAAGGGCTGAGTGGGGGGGTGGGGGGGAGAGGGACGGGGAGGGGAATGGAGAGAGGGGAGGAGGGGAAGGGGAGGGGGAGGGAGGGCAAGGAGGGAGGGCGGAGCGGGAGATCTTGGAGGCGTGTGAGGCGATGAAAGGCGCTGGCGATGAGGTGGCGTCGTGGGATTTGCGGTTGGGGAGGCGCGCTGCTGAGCTGGCACGGGACGTGGTGAGGAGCCTGCGGCTGCGCATGGCGGATCACCAGAAAGGCGCTGCAGGTGGGCGTGGGCCGGGCGGCATGTGGGGTCAACCGTGCCTTCCGTTGATAACTCCATGCCTCCCTCGTTTTGCAATCCCACCCCACCGGGTGGGTGGTGGGACCACGTCAGCCTCAGAGCCTCAGAGCATTTCTTTCAGATATGCTCCTCGTTCCCTTTCTCACCCTCTCTCTACCGGTCTTCCCACGCGAGCAGGAGGGAGGGACATGTGGGCCATAGGAGTGTCATGTGTGGAGGAGCCGTGGCTGGCGCTACTGGCAGAGGAGCTCGCCGCCCACCGCGACGACCTCCGGGAGGTGGCAGCGCACGTCACTGCTGTCGACGCCGCTCTTAGCAGGGCTGCTTATAACGAGGCACAGGAGGCAGGTACAGTCGAGGGGAACGCTGCGTGTGGTGGGGCAGGAGGTGAGGGGGGGATGAATGGTGCTGGTGCGCGGGGGAGTGACAGGTGGGCGAGAGGGGAGGGGAGTGAGGGAGAGGAGGGGATGGGGAGGGGCGCGGTGGGGGTGGCGGAGCGGTATGGGGAGCTGCATGAGTGGCAGCGCGCGCTGAGGGACCTGAGCATCCATGTGAGGGGCGTGCGCCGCCAGGCCAACACCATGCAGCGCCTCCTGCTCACCGTTGAAGCTGCCTCTGCCGCTGCCGCCGCTGCCGCTGCTGCTGGTGCTGCTTCTGGTGCTGCTGCTTCAAGTGGAAACAGTGCTATGAGTGGGACAGGAGCTAGTGGGAGCAGAACGCCGGGGCGTGGGGGTCGGGGGCGGGGAGAGAGCGATGTGGGGCCGCTGCTGGCGCGGATGGATAGCGACCTTCGGCAGTATGTGGCGGAGCTGGTGGGGCATGCGGGTGTGGCGGGCGGCGTGCTGAGTGTGCTGGAGGAGGATTTGGACGAGGCGGAGAGGCGAGGGGAAGAGGCGGAGAACAAGGGGGGGGAGGCGGGGGAAAAAGGGGAGGCGCAGAGGAGGGGTAAGGCGGAAAGAGGAGAGAAAGAGGAGGGCAGGCGGAAGGAAATTGAGGGAGGGGAGTGGGGAAGAGGACGGAGTGTGGAACTGCGGGGAAAGAGGGGAAGGAGAACGCACGTGAAGCAGGGACGAGGGATAAAGGGGAATTTCGAGGCACAGGTGCAGCAGAGGTGTTGAGAGAGAATGGGCAGGCGCGGGTGGGTCCGAGTGCAATCAGCCGTGAAGAGAGGGGCAGGGATGACGTGGCTGACGTGGCTGATATGGGTGGTGTGGGAGATGTGAGGGATGGGGCGATGGAGTTGGCGGGTCAGCGGCATGGGGACGGCGTAGGCACGAGCAGTGTGAGGGGAATGGCGCAGGGCGGGATGACGGATGGAGGGAAGGGGGCAGCAGGAGAGGTGGAGCAGGGTAGCAGTGGCGATGAAGGGTTCAATCCCAGGAGGGCGTACTCGGGGGAGGTACATCTGTCAGCAGAGCAAGGGGGAGGAGAGAAATTGGCGCCAGGCGGGCAGTAAGGGAGAGAGGGAGTAGGAGGGGGAGGTACTGGGGATGGGGCCGGAAGAGGAGATGCTCGTGAGGGTGAGGGTGAGGGTGCTGGTGATGGTGTTGGCAGGGGTGCTGGTTGCGGGGTTGGGGCGGTGGGTTTTGAGGGGTGTGTAAGAGCGGGAGAGAGGGGCGGAGGAGGCGAGGTGGAGGAGGCGATGGGGAGGGGGAGGCGGCGTTGGCAGCGCTGGTGTCGGCTCTGTGGTATGGCAGTGAGGAGGATCAAGAAGCTGCTGCCGAGGCTGTCCTGGAGGTACGGCCGAGGCTGTGGTGGAGGTAGGTAGGTATGGCTGTGGAGGTATTGTGGGGTGAAAATTCCTGAAGACTCATAGGTGCTCGTGGATACACAAATACACGCGTGTGCCTTTGCAGCTGACTCAGCCTGTCTCGGGCTTGATAAGACATCGATAAGCCTGCATGCCTCCATTCCAACCCAGACTATGGATGGAGCAACAGTGTTACCACTTCCACCTCGCACTCCCACAAAGAGCACGTGCCTCCAGGGAAAGTGAAGCTGTCAGTTTGCCACTCACATGCATTCGTTTCCCTGCACTTGCGCTCTTGATTCTCCCTTGCGCACGAATCCGTCTACTCACGTACATCCTCCTCCCCCACAACCAGGGCTGGGATGTGACACGGGCGCCATCACCGCCACGCCCTTCCCCCCAGTCCTGTCCGTCCCTCGCATGCATTCGTTCCCCTTTCTCATGTACCCTGCTCCTCCCTTCCCTTGTACACACACTCCCACCAGGACTGTGACACGGGCGCCATCACTGCCACGCCCTCCCTCGCAGCGCACATACTGGCCGGAAAATGGCAGCCCGCTCTCGCTGCTGCTCTCTCATGCATTCGTTCCCCGGCGCACTCATTCCCTCTGCTTCTCCCCTGCGATGTGTTGTCCACCAGGGCTGTGACACGGGCGCCATCACCGCCACGCTCTCCCTCGCAGCACGCATACTGGCCGGCAAATGGCAGCCTGCTCTCGCTGCCGCCCTCAAGCCGCTCTCCTCCCGCCGCCCGCCTGTCGTACAATCAGCTGTCGCCACGTCACTCGTGTGCCTGGCTGTTTCTGACGAGCTGCGCACTGCTCTGGCCTCCCAGGGGCTTCTTCAGGTGGGCAGCCAGCAGGTCCAGCTTTGTGGGTGTGGCAAGAACGGTCAGGTAGTATGTGGATAGTTCTTGTTTCAGGTAATCGCGCGTTTTGCATTTATTATACAAAACGTACGTTCTTGTTCAGGTAAACGCAAGGGACACGAGTGACGGTAAACGCACAAGTGGCGGTGTTCCCCACCTTTAGTCCACGTGGCTAGATTCTCAATCCCTAACTTGCGATTTCTGCTCTGCACTCTTTCTTCTCTCGCCCCCTTACACCCTCGCCACACCAGGCGCTGCTGCTGCAGGTGCGGAAGCCACACCGCTTGATTCTCAGGCCGCTGCGTCTTCGCCCTCGGCCAGCTGGCGCGCTGTGATTCGGTGCGCTGCCACGTCACCGATTCGGGATCCATGTCATTCCTCGTGCCTCTGCTGCGCTCCAAGGTGCAACTGCCGCCCCCACCCCCCCAACCCCTCCCCACCCCTGTTTCTCCCGTTGTATCGCCCTCTGTATCTCATCTCCTGCTCTCCTCGCTTCCACTTCGTTTTGACTCCTTAAGCGTTTGCTGCAGCCTTGATGTTTCCACTACCAGCCCTCCTCCCTTCCGCACCTCCTCTTCCACCAACCAGTTGCTCAACTCTCTTCCACTTTTCCTATGTGATTGCAACTCCTCCCCCACCGCTCCCACCCACCAATCCGATCTCTACGTGTCTGGTTGTCATTGTCAGGACGTGGAGGTGCGAGAGTCAGCCGCCCTGCTCGTCAAGAACATGGTCTTCCGGGACCCTTTTGAGTCGACTCAAAAGTCCTCTCCCCCACCATTCCTATCCCCCACCTCCCCCATCTCCCCAATCCGCTCCCTGCTGGCAGGACGTGGAGGTGCAAGAGTCAGCCGCCCTGCTCTTCAAGAACATGGTCTTCCGGGACCCTTTTGAGTCGACTCAAAAGTCCTCTCCCCCACCATTCCTATCCCCCACCTCCCCCATCTCCCCAATCCGCTCCCTGCTGGCAGGACGTGGAGGTGAGAGAGTCTGCCGCTCTGCTCTTCAAGAACATGGTCTTCCGGGACCCCCCTCAGGACAGCCAATCGCTGCTCGCCACGCGGGCGTGCGTGGTCAAGCACGGCGCGGTCCCCCCTGCTCCTCTCCGCCCTCTCCATTCCCACCGCTCTGCACCCCGCTGACACCGCCAGCCTTGACACCTCCAGCCACACCACTGGTACCAGCTCAACTAGTGCAGAGGCACATGAGTCAGCAGCAGAAGCAGCGGCGGCGGCAGCAGCAGCGGCAGCAAGGGCGTGCATGAGTGGGGAGACAGAGGAGTACATGCTGGGGATCATAGGAGGGTTGGCTCAGAGCCCTCGCCCTGCCGTGCCTCTGCCCACCAGGAAGCTCATCGCCTGCATCATTCCCCACCTCGCGCACCCCTCCACCCCCACTGTTCGCATCTACGCCCTTGCTGCCCTCGCTGCACTGGCCAAGGTCGACCCGGAGGGTGATTATAACGGGGGTGGCAGTGTGGAGGGGGCGGTGAGGAGGGTGGGGGGAGTGGAGAGGGAGGAGAGGGCGGAGGGGGGTGTGGTGGCGGTTGTGGAGTTGGAGGGGTTGGTGCCGGTGCTGCAGGTGGTGAGGGATACAGCGGTGGGGGAGAGGGTGCGCCTGCATGCTGTCTCCGTGCTCTGTGCCATTGCTGGGCTGAAGAGCAGGTAAGACTGGCTGGTAGGCTCATGTGCTGCTGGGAGGTGAGGGATGATGGCGGTGGGGGAGAGGGTGCGCCTGCATGGGCTGCTGGCAGGTGAGACGGGCAGTCGAGGCCGTGTGCTGCTTTGGAACGCGAAGGTGCGGAGGTAAGGAGATGTCAGTTAGGGGGTTGAGTGGGTGTATGTGCCAGCCTGGGAGGACAAGCAATAGTTAGACAAAATCAAAATCAATGTGGTGGATCCAATGATTTCGTCAAAATGAGACACTCTTTCACATCCTGTTTCCTGACCTTTCTTACCTCACCTCCCCCTCCCCCCATCGCCCTCTCTCCCACACGGACTACCGCTCCCTCACCGCCATAGAAGCAGGAGCAGCTTCCCCGCATCGCCTTAGAAGGTGGCATTCCCCCGCTCCCTCTCGTTGACCTCCTGCAGGAGCAGCTTCCCAACCCCTTCCTCAACCTCCCTCACCTGCCCCCTCCCCTCTCCACCACCCTCTCTCTCCTGCAGGGACTATCGCTCACTGATCGCCTTAGAGGGCGGCCTTCCCCCGCTCGTCGCCCTGCTCTCGCCCGCCTTCCCTCTCGACCTGCGCCTGCTCTCCGCCACCACACTCCGCCTCCTCTCCCTCTCCCCCGTCGTGCGCCGCTCAATCCTCCTCACGGGCGCGCTGCTCCCTCTCGTTGACCTGCTCAGGGAGCAGCTGCCAAATCCCTTCACCAATGTGAGCGTGGCTGCGGCTGTGGCAGCACTGGTGCCGCGAGGAGAGGAGGAGATGAGTGCGAGGGGACCGGTGGGGCTGTGTGCGCCGGTAGAGGAGCAGCTGGTGCTGGTAGGAGCCGTGCCGCTGCTGGTAGCCGTGCTGCTCGGTGCTGGTGGTGGTGGTGGTGAGGACATGGTGGGAGGTGGTGGGGGGATGGGAGAGGAGGGAGCAGCGAATGAGGGGGAGGTGAGGCGGGCACTGAAGCGGGTGGGTGAGGTGAGCAGGCGGGGAGCAGAGGAGATAGTGGCGTGTGGAGGGACGAGGATGCTAGACATGCTTTTATCACGCTAGGGACGTGCAGATCTGAGGTAGGCAAATGTTTGGACACTGGTGCACATAGCAGCCTGAAGATGCGTCTGAACTGAACCAGATGGTTGTTCATGTCTAGTGAACCTGAAATGGAAACGACTAAGAGTGCCACCACACACTGTGTTCCATTTAGCGCACCTACGGTGGAGTGGATGTGTACAGTGAGACGATTTTTCATCCCAAGTCAATGAGACATGCACACAACTGAACAGTTCCATACATCCAAATGGCTATTAGGGCGGGTCCAACTTTGTTCATATCCGATATATTTTCAGCACAGTTACCAGATTTAGGCGTGTAGCAGAACTTTTTACGTTTTACAAAGCAGTTGACTGGAAACAGTTCATCCGGCGACGCAATTAAAAAACGTTAGCCGAGACGCGCAGAACATGTCCGAATGTTACGAGTGCAATTGATGTGAACGAACGAGAATTGCACTATCGAAGCAAGAATACAAATGAGCGAAGGCATGAGCGAACATTATATAGCGAAACTACCGTGGTAACGGTAATGGTCGCGCGACGAGCCTGGGACTGAGGTTGGGAAAGTGTCGAAGCGTAGGTCCGGAGCGCGGGTTACCAGCCGAGCCGTGAGGTCGGGATGCGATGTGCGAAAAGGGCGGGATGATGAATGATGCGATGGTCGCGAGTGGTAACGGTGCTGACTGAGGTGCTACAGTGATGTACGCGTTGAGCAGGGACGCGAAGTAAGGAAAAGGGAATTTCCTTACACTACCCCCCCCTCCTAAGGAGGTCCTCCTTATGAAAGCGCGTGGATGTCTCGGAAATTGCGGCTACGCAGGTAGTCGGTGACGACGGGGTGATTTTCAACTTTCTCCAGGGGAACCCAATTGTCCTCGGTGGGGGTACGATCTTTCCAGCGGATCAGAAACTCCACTTTTCGGGCTCCTCGAGGGTCGCGAACTCTGTGGCTCAGGATCTTGTCGGGGGTGATGACTGGTTTGGTTGGTGGTCGTGTCATGCTGGTGGGTCGATGTCGTGGGAGTTGGCTGGTGGATGGCACGTAAGGGCGAAGTAAGCTGACGTGGAACGAGGGCTGACGTACCAGTCAGCAGGGAGGAGGAGGTGCGCGGTGACTGGCGTAACCATGTGACTGATTCGAAATGGCCCACAGTATCGAGGGCGGAGTTTTGGAGTGATGGGCAGGCGGAGGTTCTGAGTGTCGAGTAAAACGAGGTCGTCGGGCTGATAAGTAACGGGTCTGCGATGGCGATCGGCGTTGCGTTTAGCGATGATGTTTGATTTTTTTATTGCTTCTGCTGCCCTGGTCCGTGCCGCTTGCAGCATCTCGGCGAACTGTTGTGCTCGTGGGACGGGGTTGTCGGGATTCGGTGTCATGGGTACTGTTGGGTCCTGTCCGTAATTCAAGTAAAACGGCGACTGTTGCGTCGTGGCTGATGGTGCGTTATTGTATGCGAACTCGATGAGTGGCAGCTGCTGTTCCCACGTATTCGGATCGTCGCACGTGGCTCGAATCAGCTGCTCCATGGTCTGATTTGTCCGTTCCGTCTGTCCGTCGGTTTCGGGGTGATAGGATGAACTGAACTGTAAGCGCGTGCCGAACTGCTGCCACAGGTTCCGCCAGAAGTTGCTTGTAAATTTCGTGTCTCTGTCGCTGATGATCGATGCGGGTATCCCGTGCAGTCGAACGACGGTGGTGATGAAGAGTCGGGCGGTTTCCTCGGCTGTGATTGATTTCCTGCATGCTGCGAAATGAGCCATCTTCGTTAGTCGATCGACGACAACCAGGATCGCGTCATTCCCACTCGCCCCAGCTGGTAACCCCGTAACGAAATCCATCGTCACCTGCTGCCAAGCACGCTCTGGGGGCGGGATGGGTTGTAATTGTCCCGCCGGCCGCTTCCTGCTTGACTTCATGAGCTGGCAAGTGGGGCACGATGCCACGTGTCGTTGCACATCGGTCAACATTTCTGGCCAGTAGTAGTACCGCTGCAGCTGCTGCCGTGTTTTTTTCTACCCCGAAATGTCCCGAGGTAACTCCGTCGTGTGCCTCCTGTAACAGTAGTTCCCGCAGTAGCGTGTATCCTGGTACCCAGATGCGGTCGGTTCCAGCTTTTACGTAATAGACTCCTTTTGCCGCTGCGAATTGCTGTGAGTTGCCTCCTGTAAAGAACGGGTCTGTTTGATATCCATGGGTAAATAGGCCTGTCAGTAGCGGGCTGGTCTGGGCGAGTAGTATCGCGTGGATCTGGGCAGTGGGGCGGGTCAGTGCGTCGGCGATATTCGAGGCTCCTTTTTTGTATGTGACCGTATAGTGAAAATTCGACTCGAGGAAATCGAGCCATCGAATCTGTCGTGGGTTGAGGTGGGGCTGTGCACGGAGGTACTGTAGAGATCGATGGTATGTCCGTACTGTCACGTCTGCGCCGGTCAAGTAGCAGCGCCACACTTTGAATGCGTGCACGATCGCGAGCATTTCGCGGTCGTGTATCGGGCAATTTCGCTCAGGCGGGTGTAGTTTGCGTGATTCGTAGGCGATGGGTTGGAGGCCGTCGCCGAAGTCCTGTAACAGTACAGCTCCGATGGCGATGTCACTTGCGTCGGTAACCACTTCGAAAGGGCGGTGGGGATCAGCGATGCGTAGAACGGGTGGTGAACAGAGAACGTTTTTCAGGGCAGAGAAGGCAGCATGCTCTTTCTCTCCCCACGTAAAAGCGACCCCCTTACGCAGTAAATCAGTGAGTGGGGCTGTTAAACGTGCCATGTCGGGCACGAACCGTCGAACGTAATTAACAAAACCTTAAAAACTCTGCAGTTCCGTGATGTTCGTCGGGGGGCGCCACGCTTTTACCGTATCCAGCTTCTTTGGGTCAATCTCAACCCGAGCCTCCGAAATGACGTGACCCAAAAACTCTAGCCTGTCCCCAAAAAACTCGCACTTGGAGCCCTTGGTGAGTAGCCGATGTTCCTCCAAAACCTTAAAAACTGCTTCAAGATCCACTAAGTGCTGCTGCTTATCCCGGCTGTAAACTAGAATATCGTCCAGGTAAACTATCACGCATTTATCTAAAAGTGGTCTAAACGCCTCGTTCATGGTCATCTGAAATGTTGCAGGCGCGTTCGTCAGCCCGAATGGCATTACTGTATACTCGAATGACCCGTACCTAGTCCTAAATGCTGTTTTGGCGCAGTCCGATGGTTCGACCCGAATCTGATGGTAACCTCCCCGTAAATCTATTTTCGAAAAGACTCGTGCTGTTCGCAGTTGGTCGATCAGTTCGTCGGCGCGGGGGATGGGGTATCGCGATTTGACGGTTACCCTGTTAAGCGCTCGGTAGTCGATGCACATGCGGAACCCTCCGTCTTTTTTCGGTGTGAACAGTATCGGTGCGGCGAACGGTGACGAGCTCGGTCGGATAAACTGCTTCTCTAACAGGTAATCTAACTGCTTCCTTAACTCGTCGAGCTCGGGCTGTGTCAGTCGAAATTGCCGCTGTACAGTTGGCTGTGCCCCCGGTTCTAACTCGGTCCTATGGTCGTGCGCCCGCTGAGGTGGCAATCCCTGTGGTAAATCATCCGGAAATATCCCCGGGAACTGTTTCAGTAGTGCCTGTAGTTCGGTCGGTACAGTTGCCAGCAGTTTCTCCAAATCACTCGGCTGCTCATCTTTTTCTACGAGTGCGATATCCACTGCGTACACGTCAGCTCCAGCAGCGACAGCCCGTTTCATCGTGATGGCGTTGACCTGGACCGTCGAAGATTTGGGTGGCTGCCAGCGAGGTAGAACGACCCAGTTACCACTACTTCGCACTGTGCAGCTCCCCGTCGTCCAGTCGATCCGTGGGTTGTACCGTCGCAGCCAATCACGTCCTAATAAAATGTCGTGCCCATCCAGTGTTGTCGCGAGCATTTCCTGTGTAAACCCGAAGTTCCCCCCGCAGCGGACTTTTACGCGCTCCACCTTTTCCCGTATGGCCAGGGGCGTGCCGTCGACTAAGCGTGCATCTATCTCAGGTAAACATCGGTTAAGCGTTAACTGTAATTTTCGTGCGGTTGCGGTATTAACTAAGCTGTGGCTTGCTCCTCCGTCAATGAAGATCTTCACTGCTGCTCCCTGTATTTTCCCGTAGATCAGTACCGGGCAATCCGTCGCTGTACCCTCCTTATTCATCCGAGCCCGATCGATGGCGTGAATCGGTACTGTGACTCGGTGAGGGTCGGTGTGGTTGGGCGAGCAGGCAGTCTCGTCAGTAGTTGGCCCAACTTCTACTGACTGCTGGCGTTTCCCTGCCTCCGAGACTCCTTCCCCTGCTCTGCTCCTCGACGCCTCAGCTCCTCTGGACATTCGCTCTTGCGATGGCCCGGCCGGTTGCAAGCAAAGCAGCGCCCTCTAAACGGCGCGGCAGCTGCATTTGCTGCGACGGCATGTACAGTGGCGTGCTCGGTCGGTCCCCGAGGGCGATGTCCGTAATAGGACCCCGGTCTCGGTCGGCGTAGGATATCGATTTTCTCGGCGAGCGCGAGGATCTCGTTGAAATTCGAGAGCCCGCGTAGCATTATCTCGTGCGAGATGTCCGGCTTCAGCCCTCCGACGTAACGGTCCACCCGCTCCGCCTCGTGCATGTAGCCGACCTGTTCGCAAAGTGCGAGAAACCCGCTGGTGTAGTCTTGAACTGACCCGAGCTGGCGCCAAGTGCGCAGTTTCTGACGCGCCGAAATCGAGGCCGCGATCGGCTCAAAACGCGCCCGAAGCCCTGCGCACCACGCATCCCACGTGCTGTATTGGGCGGTTTCGCAGAACGAACTCCAGGTAACAGCTGGACCCGAGGGCCCTTCCTCGTGCGACGGTGGCTCGTAGGCGCGCGGCGACGTCACAATGACTCGCCACCAGTCCATGGCGGGGCCCCTGAGTAGTGAAACCGCATACCGGATCTTGGCGGCGTCCGACTCGACGTAGTTGGCGTCGAAAAACACATTCATCGTGAAGACCCACGATTGAAC